CTATAGTATTATAGTTTTAGATTCTTGTTTATCTGAGCTTTTGAGGAACATAATTTGCTTTGTAAATGACAATGGGTGTGAAAAAATTGGTCTGAGGGTCTGATTAAAGTCACTGTATACTACTAGCTAGTGTGAATATTGATAGAAACTATATACAAAGTATATCTATATACTTTGAATGATTTTTAAAATGGAAAAAGTAGAATGAAATTTAACAGATAATGCAATATTCTTCAGTCAGGAAACAAAAGAACAAAGCAAAATTAATCCTAATCAGACTTAACACTACATCTTCTACTAATGTTCATGATGTGAATAATACACATAATATTGCATATCCTGTTTCTACCACTGCCATAATTTTGTGGTTATAAAATATAATAACGTGATCTTAATTTGAACAATTAAGAACCTAATTTTCTAATGAACACAGCATTTCCTCCCAACATTATTTTTGATATTTTGCTACCCACTAAAAACCCCAGTGAATGATTTGTACTAATACTTATAATATCTGGTGCAGGAAACTATTAGTAAATATGACTAAAATATTTAACTTTTAAAAGTTCAGTATATTCTTTGTACAACAAACTTCTAGATGCCAGGCAAGCATGAAGCAGAAATCAAACTCATGAATTCAACTTCATTCCCGAAATGTTTGCCTTAATATACTCCTAGATATTTACACAAATGCATATAAACCTGCTGCATTCCCTTGCATAAAGCAAGACAGACCAATAGATTTTGAATTGAAACTATTAAAATTTGAACCACATCATCATAGTTCTATACATTGCATTAGTAACTTGGTTTATAACCTCTTGAAGAAAAGCTGTAGAGATATGTTCATTGAAACCCTACCTCATAGATGGTCTCCTTTCAGGTCTTCCAGTCTCAAGGTTAGGATTTCAGATGATACAACCTTGTCTTCTCAAAAGAATGGTGTGGTGGTATATTCATGCATCTCCCAAGACATTGTCTCATGTAAATGGGGGATGCAGTCATAATAATCCTCTAGGAATGTAGCACTGATCCATTAACTGTTGCTGCACCCACAAGGGATTATGTGAAAATCCATCAGAAACTGCCTTGGTCTACTGGAAGAATTTAGAGACATCTGACATAGGCCTTTACTGCTAATTCACTTGTACAGTGCTTGATTTAATGGCCCAATAATGAATAGATTGATCTTCAACTATTGTTTTACTTATTGATCTCGTTCCCTGTGCCAATTAGTGAAATTACTTAATGTAAAGAGATATATCTGTTTATACAAATGTCTCACTTTAGTTTAAAATTGAACAGGGTTCATGATAAACTGAATAGATACATATTCAGGGAATAATTCTTTTTATGTTTTTTTAAACCAAAATAAAACTGTTGCTAAGAATCCTTGCCAGGAATTGCTTTTAATAATTTGCATTCATACTTCATGTTTTGTAAACTCAATAGGTTGCACTACTGATATTATGAATGTATCATTAAACAAGCAGGTAATTCTGTAAAAAAAATTAATAGGAAATGTTCATGTTATATTCCACTGTACATGGTTTGAGGACTTTTGGTGTTATATAGCTATGTTACACCAAATCTTTAAGCAGGTATTATATCTATTTGCAAATACAATATGTGTATGTTTTGATGTGGAAACCCAGATTGCTTTGATTGCTCAGAATCAACTGCCATAAATCCAATATGGAAACAATTTGCTCAGTGCTCCATGCCCTGCCAACCTCGTGGTTGAACTACCCTTGGCAACGTGCTATTGGTACATATGGCAATGTCGGGCTGCCCTTGAAGAAAACACTGAAGGTTCAGTTTTGAAAGAATATGGCGTGTTAGAAAGATGAGGCAAATGGGATCATAACGAGATAATTCTACAACAAATGTCATATTAATTTATTGGTTTCTAAAATCAATTCAAATTAAGCTTCTATAACTAGAGACCCAAATAGCTAAAGAAATCCTTTTCTTTATGGTGCCCACTTGAAAGGGAGACTCTTCTCCAAATGATTAATACTCTCTATAGCACGGGTGTCAAACTCGCCGCGTCATGTGACATATTGCAACATATCGCGACTTTTTTTGCATTGCCGGACCTGGGGTGGGCGCGGCCTCCATATGATGCAACCAGCCTGCAAGGCGGCAGTTTGACACCCCTGCTGTATAGAAATGTTGCCAAATCTGATCTTGCAATCATTTTGACACCAAGTCAAGATTCTCTTCTTGACTTAGGGAATTTCTGTTGATATAGCCTGTCCTGATCAATTTTATTTCCTTTTAATGCACTTAATGGTAATTTGTATTACAGTTTAGCAATACAAGTGGAAACATCCATTTAATGACCCTCTAGTCTAATTTTGATTTAGATAGTCCCGCCTGCCCAAACAAAAGACAAGTCCACTATACCCAAAGAAATCCAGCCGAGCAGTTTAGTATGCATTAATTTTGTGTTATTCATGGGAAATTCAAGTTACTTGTGTAATGATTCCCACTAATTGATCCTTGAATATAAAATGCTAAAATCCAAAAATGATACAATAACTGCATATAAATGTACAAGGCTGATTTCAATATAGATATTTATTGGTAAGCAGATTGCAGATGTACAGATACTATAGCAGCTTGAAGAATAATGAATACAGAACAAAAAGAGGCATACAATTTAGACTTTTTGAATGTTGCAATTTCACATACGTTAAGGTAATGATACATTTAAATATTTCTTCTAATTAAATGTCTTGAGCTTGTACTAATGTACAGTATTAATCTCCTGAGTTTTGTACTGATGAAATCTAATAGTAATCAAACATATGACAGGCAATAAAATACATTAAAATTATGACAAGTTATTGATTTTGGAACAGAAGCCCTCAGTGACAATATTAATACAAATTCATAACACAATCATGCTCAGTTAAAACAAAGAAGGCCCCATTAGCCAAATATGAAATCCTACAGGATTATGATAATTAATTCACTGAAAGTCAATCTTGTCAGGACAAGCTATAAAATATCACAAGAGACTAGGTTGGTCTCCTAAGTGCAGGAATTCCAAAGACTGAGCAGCCTCCTCAAGAAAGCTTTGGTAATGTAGTTATCACCCATACTTTACAAAGAAGACAAGGATACACTTCCTCAGTTGAATAATCCCCAATGTAGGTTAAGACATACAGAAAACCCCAAAGATTGCCCCATATTTCATAAATGTGATGAAGAAAGAGATGTACAGGTATTTCAGTTGTATTCTCCAGTTTATAGTCCATGGACTTGCCTTTAGTTCAGGGTTCATGAGGTTTATTCTGCTGGGTGTAATCTTTAAAGAACTCTCACTGACAGGCTTACAAAAAGGCAGTTGTTAGTCAGCAACGCTAAAACCCAAGTCACCCATTTCTCCACAAAAACCGTTTTAATCAGATGTTGGGACAATGAGGGAGTACTGCAAGGAAATCTTGCTTTGAAATCTTTGTGTTTACTTTTGCAGCCAACTGGTAATGTTGTATAATACCAAGAATCTTTCACATCTAATGTTATACTTTCAAAGTGCGCTCTGATCTAGCACATCTGCTATTTGACTAAAAATCCAAAGCGTCCATGACATAAAATGAAGGAATTGTTAAGGACACAACTCCGGTCTAAGCAGCTGATGTCCCCTTGCAGCTGGAAGAAATGCCAAGGAGAACAAATTATGGTCTACATTACCATATCATCCAGTCACTATCCTTTGTTCCTATATTGGTATTATTGCCAATCTGTATAATACGTCAATACAGCACAAAGCCTATAATGTGAACCACAATTATCTGAATAGAAGACCCATTCATATAAAACTAAAATTGGAAATCTATTTGGCTACAATCAGAGTAATTACAAACTTGGATAGCATGACTTATCCTGACTATAAATATATGGACAGAAGAGAATGTAGGCCAGAAGATAGCTTTTTTTTTCCCCTGCCCTCATTGCCAAAATAGTTATATCCATGCAAAAAAGTAATTGATGCTTGGGCTAAATTAATCACAAGCAAGACTTTAAAAAGTTAGTTTTAAATAAATATTACTGTTCTCTGTTACATTGTAGCTTAAGAGTGATATGAACCAAGAACTGATACAGGTAATTCTTGACTTAAGACTCATTGCTTAGCAACTGTTCAAAGTTACGATGGACCTTGTCCCCCCCAAAATATACTTACAACCTGGATTTGAAGTTCTGATGGCCACACCTCTCCCCCTGTGATCATATGTCTATGGAGATTCTCAGCCATCCAGTTCATGGTTGTCGCAAAGGTGCTTTTTCAAGAGGCAACTGGACTTTCTTGTTTTCTTTGAAGCAGTTCCGCTTCTCATCCAAGAAGCTTCTTCGGTTCAGCGTTTTGGACGAGAAGCGAAACATCTTCAAAGAAAAACAGGAAAGTCCAGTTGCCTCTTGAAAAAGCACCTTTGCGACTGTGGTCACATGATTGCATTTTAGGCAATCAGCAACCAGCCCACATTTACAGCCATTTGCAGCATCCCACTGTCATGTGATTGCAATGTATGGGGACCAGCATTTACTTCTGGTTTCTGACAAAATATGCCCATTGCGGAAAATGTGACGTTTTAATGACCACAGCATTTATTTAATGACTGCCATAAAACAAGTAATAAAATCAGGCTTACAACCTTCATTCTGGGCTCAGTTATGATTCAATTTATAAGACAAGGACTACCTCTATATAAAAATATTTTTCATTAGGAAGGCCCAAGAGTTTTTGAAGTTACTGTGTTCAGTATCTTGCTTAAAATTGATTTTGCTTTGCATGCCATTTGTTTCAAAGATGGAAATCACAAACCACCATCAACAAATACATTTCTTTGCAGCCCTCCCACAAAATGCAAGCATCTCAACCAAGGATCTCAAAAGGTGCTTTTTTTCTTTGAGGAAGAAAAAAAAACAGTCCAGTTGCCTTTTAGGGGGAAAAAAAAACACTTTTGAGACAACTATCATCTGGATGATTGAGAATCTCCACAGACTCTCAACCAAGGGGTTTGAGACTGTGGCTTTAAAATATCATTTAGAAACATTTTCAGATAAAAAATATTCCAGTCTTAAATAATTGACTTAAGTGGTTCAACTGGCTTTTGCATGTGTAATGTTTAGCCGTGGAAGGGAGGTGTCCTCTTGAATGCCAACTTGATGATGCCCGTTTCTGTGATTTAAACATGGTTCATGTCATCCGATTTAATATCCTTTTTCAGTTTGGCCAGGCGCATGAGGCATTCATCTCTCCACTGTCTCCTGGCATTTAGGTGCTCTGGATCACTTGGAGTTTTTTTAACCATGGCCTGAAACAAAGACAAAATAGCTATACATTAAGATAAAGGATCGCTTTAGGATAGCCTGAACTGGCATGCCCATACAGTTTTCTTGGCAATGGTATGGAAATGATCTGCTACTGTCTTTTTTCTTTTTGACTTTCCAGTTTAGTCTGGATTTGGGGTGGTTTCCTGGGCAAGGATGTCTCAACGGTCCTTGCCTGCTTAGCTTCTAAACCAGGCAAGGTCAGTTAGGTGCTGCCATCTAGCTGGGACTGCTTAAGTAGGAAACCAATCAGTCAGCCCAGCAGCATTCCCCCTACAACAGTGTTTCTAAAAACCTGGCCAACTGAAAATGTGTGGACTTCAATTCCCAGAATTCCCCAGCTAGCTGGGAGAATTGGCTGGGGAATTCTCGGAGTTGATGTCCACACACGTTCAAGTTTTAGGAGAGATATTATCTTGTCTTTTAGGGCTTCTAAAATAATGGTGGTTTTATTCTTTCTGATAGCATGGAATAACTTGTTGATACTTCTTTCTTGTTGCACAGTAGCTCCAACCTGACCACAATACAGTAGTTCAGTTCATGAGTGAATGCCTAACCTAGGTGAAATTCTGATAATACCACCCCCCAGTTAATTTAATTTATGAAGAGACCTCACATCTCCTTCACACTGGAAGAGCAACACTTTATTGCTACAAAAATGCTTTTCTTTTCCAATCTGTACACTTGTTATTATATTCATGAGTATACTGGTGTTAATGATAAACAAGTGTCTCCTCTAATCCTTGCAGACTTCTAAAACATTTAAGATATCTTTTTCCAATGTTCTTACCCTATGTGCTACTGCAGTGTTTGGTAAAACCTGGTATTGGGAGTACATCAACCAAAATTCCAGACTAGTGGCCCATTGGTTATAATGACTGACAGTTCCAGGAACTGTAGTCTGACACATCAGGACACCATCAGGCGGCGATGAATGCACTATTGCTTTTGAAAAGATCTTCTCATTCATCCGATTCTTAAAAAGTTTCTCTGCTCACCATGTCATCAAACTATGCTCCACATTGTGAGGTTGTTAACAATAACATGCTTGTCCCTTTCCAGCAGAGCTATCCTATCTCTATTACATGGGAACCAGATACTTGAATATTGGCACTGGATGAAGGCTTGAGAGATTATCCAGAATGAATGGTTTAGAATTCTGCCATCTTTTTTTGACAATGAAATCCTAGAGAAATAAACATGATGCGATGATACCTATTTAATAAAAACCTCAAGCCAAGCAAAGAGAACTCACTTTTTTGCTTTACTAACCTCTGAACAATAAAAGAGGACGATGGCCCAATTACAATTACCTTGCCCCATTCCTAACTTAGCCCTGAATCTACTGCCTTCTGAAGCTAAAAAATAAAGCCGTCATACTGATTTTCAGATTATATTTTAATCATCTGACTACTTTTTCTCTTCATATATATTATAAAACACACTGGATTAGAAGTTGTTTTTATACCGGTATATATCTTTAGGAAGCAAGTTACAGAATGACATGCAGACGAATAATTCTCTATTTTTACATAGTTTTAAAAGTTATTACAGTCCTTAAAAACCAGGCCCTAGAGGTTAAATAAGTACTGAGGCCCACAAAATAAAAATGATTGGGCAAGGATTACTACATTAAGGAATGTGAACTCGAACAAGGAAAGAATGAAGTCGCTTTAAAATAACAGTTAGATAGTCCTTGACTTACACCCATTCATTTAGCAACTATTTGAAGTTACAACAGCACTCAAAAAAGGAACTTACAACTGGTCCTCACACGACTGTTGCAGCATCCCCCCAGCCCTGTGATCAAAATCAGGGTGTTTGGCAATTGGCACGTATTTACAATGGTTGCAGTGTCCCCGGAATATATGACTGCTGTTTATGGCATTCTAATATGCAAGGTCAATGGGAGAGGCTGGATTTATTTAACCATGAGTGTTAAGCAGTGATTTGCTTAACAACTATGGAAATAAAAGTCATATAACTGGATGCAACTCACTTAACAACCGTCTTGCTAAGTAACAAAAATTCTGTTCCCAATTGTGGTCATAAGTCAAAGATTACCTGTAAGTTTGCTAAATACAGACGATAATTCATTTCATTTAATAACAGTCAGATGTGTGTTGAATGAATAATGTAATCAAAATATACAAAACCTGAGTATTTTATCCCACTTCTGACCATGTATATAATCTCTATCTAAAACAAAATATCGCATTTTGGGGATCTGCAGAGTAGAATTTGATTTTGTGTCTTAAAAATCACACGGTTATATTTCCGTTTTGTTCTTAACGTCCATTTGACAACAGGAACAACGCAATGTATGCGGCATATAAAGAAGCAAATTTGGCTGTAATGCATTCTATACGCCAAGGTGTATGTGTGCCAACCACACAGCAAATCACAAGACTGCTGGTGACAAATAACAAAATGATTAAAAATCAATTAACCCAAATAAGGAAACCCAATTCGTAGAACACCCAATATGCTAATGCAGTCGATACATTTTGCGAATTCAGCCTGATATTCAGTTTGTACACATACCTCATTGATTTTCTGTTCTGTTTCCCCAGCAAAATCTGGTATTGGTCCAAATGTTTTCAAGACATGGATAATACCTTTACGGTATCTCTCAAAATAGTTCAGCGTTCCTGAAGGAGAATAGGAAACTGTTTAATGATTCCCAAAGAAAGTCTACATTGTTACATACCACTGAATTTGAGTGGAATTACTGACTGTCTAGAATTCATTTTTTTTCTGGCTAGGGTTCCAAACAGCTGTCTGCTAATTCTTTTCAAAAAATGAAGTCCCAAGAAAAAAATTCTACAACATCCTTTGAGAACTTCCTTGCTTCCAAGCAGGATATATTTTATACTTAACAAAAATCCTCTTCCTTGAGATTGATCCCAGCAATTCAAAAGTTCAGACTGTTTAATAGCACTCATAATTTCAGCCAACATTATTTGGAAAGAAGAGAAGCAGCTGGGAGCTCATGAGCAGAACAAGCAAATGCAATGGTCAATAGATATAAGGGAGTTTTGTTTTTGAGGGTTGTTTGGATAATTGTTGTTTTCCTTATCATCAAGGAACTACTGTATCTGTTTATTTGAAGAATACAGGGTTTGAGCAGTATCAGCTCTATCAGGTAGATCAAATAGGAAGCACAACAAGGTGAGCTAATTCTACTTTATTGTAAGGCTATATTACAGAATTTTGCAAGTCTGAAGAAGAATTCTACCTTTCTCTCCTTTACACACAAAAAAATAGGAGGATTTCTTCTGAGTATCTTGCCCCACCCACTATCCCACTGCAGACGATGCTGTCTCTTATCTGACCATTGTCTAGGCAGCATCTTTGGGTCCAGTCAGCCAAGGTCATTCCCACATACCATTAAAAACAGGAACTTAAGCTGTAAGTATTTCATTGATAATGCTAGATAGCATTAAGAGAAAAAAACATTTGGGAGCTTGCAATCAGTGAGCAAACAGGAGAGCAAACAGGAAGAGGGAATTAGGTGAATAGAAGAATTTACTAATCTTCCACTTTCAGAGACAAAACATCAAGATAAATTCAGTGATTGAGTGAAGAATCCAGAACTCAAGGTTCTGAAAATATAAGTGTCCCAGGTTCTCTTATGTATACAGGTTAGTGGGCTCCAAACCTCCAAGGGAGCCAATACAACTCCTGGCCTGACCCCGGCCAACACACCATAAGTACACAAAGCTAATATTCATAGTTTACTATATCACTTCTCCCTTCAATTACAACTTCTGTTCCTCCACTACTTCTCTTTGTGAGCCCTATTTCTGGAAAACAGTAATTCTTATATTTGTCTTAGACTGCTTTAGGTTGTTTTAGTTTCCCAAATGAACACAAACCACCTTCCCTCTCACACCCACACCACAACTCCAACACCATCACACCCAGCTGCCTCTCTGTTCAACTTTTTTAGTCACACATTTTGGGTTGACTACCTAGGGCACTAGCAGCCCAGGTGCTGGTCATTTTGCAGGCACCCTGTCCTCTCACAAATATCCATCTTCTACTTCAAACAATTCTTTAAAAAGAATAGACCGTAACCAAGAATAACTACATTAAAATAGAAAGCCAGCAGGAGAAGGCAGTGTTTTCTGGTTTATTACATATACATATACTTGGCTTGGACCCCAACTGGTATGACAATTTCCTGATTAGCAGGTCCATCCCCCTGAAATCAGAGTGGCTGAACTGGAGATAATTAGGCAACCAGAGAGATATCTGGATGAGACCCTTCAAGATATGATAGCTTTTTCCTACTTCCAAGGTGATAAAATTCTCATTTTTAAGAAAAATGGGGAAGGAGGACATTGAGAATGAGACATGTGTTCCCAAATTAGGGATCCAGTCTGTGGATGATGAAATCTTTTTATATTGAAAACATACCTCCAGGAGATTGGGGGGATTTTTATTGTAATTTGACCTTTACAAACAAAACATAAACATATAGGCTTGTGGATCACATGGTGACTTGTTTGCCTGGTCCAAAGGTTGTAGACATACAGATCAACTGCTAGGCCATGGTGTAAGCCAAAGCAGTTTAGATTTGTTAGGTGTCTAGGAATGTGGGGAACAAGCCAAGTTTGGGAAATGGGTTCCACTTGGAATCCAGCTGCTATGGCATAAAACCCAAAAGCTGGCAAATCAAGTTTCAAATTGATTTTTGGAGGAGAGCCCAAAGGTTGTGTAGCATCCAGTTCAAAAAAGGTTTAGCTATAGTATTTCAGGAAACAAAGGACCAATACTGGAAGAGGGTTAATGAAATGTTAGGAAAGGTTCATATCAACATTTAAAAAAAGGACTTCCCATTTTTCAGCTACTTATTTCAAATGTTACTTGTGACTAATGCAGATATTTGTCATTTAATTTACAACAATATTCAGTCATGATCTTTGTGTAAGTGTCTGGCTGTAAAATCAGGACTTTACAGATGCCAAAAAGGAAGGTCTGCATGAATATGAGAAAATTCCTACTCCTAATCTCAAGAAATGTGCCCAGAAGTCTGCAATCCTTGGCATACTTACTTACTAAAACTGATGGAGGTATAATAGAGTTCACCTCGAGTAAACATGAATAGATTACCAACATCTATTGTTTATATATTAACCCAAGGAGTATACTATTTAATGAGCTAATGTAAAAAGGGAAACCATCAATTGATATCCTATTTCAAAATATCTCTAAGAGAGTGGTCAGAAAAGCATTTCAGTAACTTCTGAGTTTCAGTTGTAATAGTGCCTCTTTTTATATTCTGCGATTTTTGCAGAAGCAAAATAGAACACAAAGAGCTCCCAGGTTTTTCTAAAGCATTAATAGCAGAGCTAATGAAAATATTAGTTGCTTCCAGTTACACACACAATGATGTTTAATGAGAAGCCTTTTAAAGATGTTACTTTTTACATTATGAAGATCACAGTTGTAATCTTTTTTTTAAAAAAAAAAAACAGGTTGAAAAAAGTACTTTTGCTTAAACAATTAAAAAAAATTCTAGGTTATGCATCGTTACTGATATTTCTTTCCTGTTGGCATGAACTATACTGAGATTAAAAAAAGCTAATTCTGGTGAAGCTATTTAAGACTGGTTGTTAAAAGCCAAATGGCCTGTCTTTAAGTGTTTTTGGGAAGGTTGAAAACAAGCAGGTAATCTTACCCCCTCTGTGGAACCTGAAAAGATTAGATCCATACACAGGAGGTCCTTTGTTCCATGATGATACAGTTATAGGGTACCTGAGAAAATTGTTTTAGTAGCACTGCACTGCTGGGGGGTTTTTGTACTAAAAGGATCTGATACTTTTTTTAGTACCCCTCTGCCAAAATGTTAAACTGTCCAGCTCCAGGACCCAAAATCAGTACTCACCACTCTTTATATTAATTCAATTTGATGTCCTTAAACTACCTTCTCCTATTAAAAATGTTGTGGGCTTCCTTTCTCCTTGTTATGTTTCTTTTTGTTCTCACGTTACTTTTCTTTTTCTCTTTGCAATGACTTGCTGTTGGCATTTGCTCTTTATCCCAAAGCTTCTGGCATACAAGTATTCTACTGTTGCATAAGAGTTCTTTTCCCAGCTATGAAAGCTAAAACTCTGCTCCCGTACATGTTTACTTTGTGGTAAGTCTCACACAGGTATCTGTGAGATTTACTCCCATCTAAAGCAGGATTCTCATCAATTGCTCAAATCAGGGCTTCTCAATCTCAGCAATTTTCAAATGTATGGACTGTAACTCCCAGAATACACCAACCAGCATACATCTTAAAGTTGCTGAAACTGAGAAGCACGGACTAAGAGCATCTTCTATGGTTTTTCAAACATCCTTGAGCAGACAGACCTCACCAATGGCTGAAAGACAGTGGAGGATTCTACAGTATATGATTCTAGTAAGGACATAGCATATATATCTGTGCAGATATAGAGATTGTCTGGTTTGCCGACTCTAGAACACGCAACATATAATTGTCCATGTGAGAAGCAATCCGTGTCTAGATCTAAACCGCACAATTCTAAAGATTGGCCCTGAGCTTTGTTGATGGTGATTGCAAACGCCAATCGAATTGGGAATTGCAATCTTTTAAATTGAAATGGCATATCTGTTGATAGTAGGTATATAAAAACACGCGCGTATTTGAATGCAACGTTGTGTCAAAATTTCAAAGCAATCGGTGAAGAACTTCCGGAGATTTAAGATTTTGAAGAAACAAACATTTACATTTTTATTTATATATAGATGAAACCTGATGCTTTTGAATAAGGCTACAGTATTATTTTTTTGCAAATGATTAGGCAAACATGTAGCAATGCCTCTTCTAGGTATCCATGTCTGCATAAATCCAAGCGTGTGGTTTTTGAACACTATGTTTTGGTTTCTAATTCTCATCATTCCCAGAAATATGTTCCAAATCAGAACTTTGTAGGAGCTGTGGCAAAAACATCTGGAAGATACCAAATCACCAGCCTCTATTTTAAACTTTCAAATATTATATTATTTCTTCCAGAATAATCACACAACTTAGTAAATATATTTTTTGCTGGTTGAGGATGGACCAAGTTAACAGGCTTGAGAAAGCTTCAGTGATCCAATGGACTCAAATGATTATTTCTTGTTAAATCATTTGAGAAAACTCTATCTGCAGTTAGAAATGATATGGAATAGATTACACAGGCTTTCAAAATCCACAAAACCAGAAACAACTCATCAGATTTAAATAGGAACAATGACTTTGCCTGTTACAAAGGGGAAGTGGGAGAGCAAAGCTTCCTTCTAGGCCCTAACAACCAGTTGGAAGTTTATTATTTTTATTTAATTTATATTTGATTTTTCTGTAAATCTGGGAAGGCCAAGGCAGCCTTCAATTTTACAAATAATAAATAATAAACTTCGTAGTGAGATGGGCGGCAAACAAATTGAATACATAATAAAAGCTATAGAACAAAAATGTTACTAAAACACAGCGACTAAGTCATGGAAAAAAAGTTTTAAAATTAATAACCTTGAAAAGATGGCGGTTCTCTGGAAAGGCAGCCACTCCCAAACCACATGATAGTGAGCGATCACCACAATTTTTAGCTAATGCAAAAGTTATAGTCATGCCAGGAAAATAATAGTATGTTTAAACATGGTGCAACAGATATATTTTTTTCATAAAATAGCTCAAAGAGCCAACCAAAATAATTACTGTACAATACTACTTTGAAATCTCCAGAACCTAACAATATTTAATAATAATAATAATAATAATAATAATAATAATAATAATAATAATAATAATAATAATAAAAATTATACATCTCACACCCACATATATATTGAGAGAGAGAGAATATTCTTGATATAATCATAACTTTGAGAAGTGGACAAAATGACTGCAGATATCTGTTCATGGAAATGCTATGATTTATGCACTTGCATCAGGTATAACGATAATAATCCCAACATTTGCATGATATTACCGTACATTTGTCATCTTTTTGATGTCACCACGGTCGTAACAGAAATTGTTGATCAACATCTATTTGGTTTAGAAATGTCTGCATTAACTTTCACAACAGTTACAAACCTTCAGCATTTAGATGCATTGTTTCCAGAGGTCCCATAAACGCATACCGCATTCCCAAGCCATCAGACATCACAAGGTCTAGATCATCTGGCGATACTATTCCATCCTGTATAAAAAAATATTGATTTTGAGTGTTAAAGAATTGTAGAATTCATATTTACTCTATAATCCCTTTATGGATAGGAAATACTGCAAAACAAAAGGCTAACATTAACTGTAGAACAAAAGTTGCTGATGTGTCTATCAATCTGCATGGTGGTTTACAGAGTAATATGGTCTCTCAGATTATTTCTGGTGGCTGGGGAGGATAGTGCAAAGATGTCAATTTTTATTTAAAAAAAACAGATTTTTTAAAAAAAGAATTCAGAATTGCAGGGATTCAGTTGCTATTTTAGAGGTAGCATGCTTATCTGAAGGCATAGAGAGCCTTAACTGTTTAGCTGCCAATGGGAAAACCATACAAAATTATACCTTTGATTTTGAGTGATTTGTGCTTGACGAGTGAAGTGCTCAATGGCATAATCTAAAATGGTTATTAGATGAGCTGAGTTCAGCTTGAAGGAGACTTTATTTTTGGCAGGACAGTGAGTGCTTCTCTCAAAAATAACTATAAATTATGCAACCTTCCTGAACATGGCATAAAATTGCTTTCTAAGTGATAGAAGTCCTGGACATAATTAGAAATACAGGTTCTTGTGATGACCCAATTTCTTTATATTACAGGTAGTCCCCGACTTACAACAGTTCATTTAGTGACCATTCAAAGTTACAAAGGCACTAAAAAAGTGACTAACAACTTTTTTTCATGCTTAAAACCGTTGCAGCGTCCCCATGGTCATGTGATCAAAATTCGGATACTTGGCAACTGACTCATTTAGGACAATTGCAGCAACTTGGGATCACATTTTGTGATCTTCTGACAAAGTCAATGGGGAAGCAGATTCACTTAACATCCGTGTTATTAACAGCTGCAATGATTCACTTAACAAGTGTGGCAAGAAAGGTCGCAAAATGAGGCAAAACTCACCTAACAACTGTCTTGCTTAGCAACAGAAATTTTGGGCTCAATTGTGGTCGTAAGTCAAGGACTACCTGTATTCATATTCAATGATGTTGTGGGATCTTGTTCTTTTGGTCTGAAGGACAAAAGAAGGCTTGCGTTCCTGCACTGCTCTTTGTGGTCATGAGTGTGATGTTATGATGCAAAAAGGGGGGGAGGGGCTGCATCATAATGCTAGAATGTTATCTGTCCACCACTACCCCTGAAAAAAATGATCCAGTATCATTGATACTTTGCAGCTTGACTTTTCATCATATAAAATACCAGCTTCCATTACAGTATGATTTTGGAGGATTTCATTCACCTTTTCGACTAGGGTGTGTGGGGTGTATGTGCATTATGCAGCGGTGAAAATGGACAAACATGATAATTAAATACAGAACATGCAACTGCCATATACGTTATTACACGTTGGATGCATCATGAAAGCAATCCGCATGGCCTAAACATGCCCAGCTCCTTATGTTTATTAAGAGGCAACTCCCAGTTTCCAACATAGCAGGTCATGAGGTGCTGTTTGAAGCTCAGCTAACATCCAGAGAATACATTTCCAAGCAAACCAGCACACCCAAAAAAACAGGATAGGACAAGTCCTTCAGTACAGATTCATCTCCTGTTTCTTGAAAGCTCTTCCTAACAATATACTTTTAAATGTATTGTTTTTACAATAATCTTAGTTTATGCTCTTAACAAGAAAATCATTTTTAATGTCTTCAGATCGAAGACCAGATTATATAGGGAAATCACATTAAACAGAAAAAGCAAGATTAAAAATAATCAAAAGAAAGAACAACTTACATCAATATAAGCAGTAACATAAGACTTGTACTCCATTTTTCCTAGTGCTAAGCATTACAGGAACTTGATCACAGATTCATTCCAGAAACAATGCCATAAAAAAAACCACTCATATCAATCTTTTCCTTAAAATCTTTTCATTGAAATAGGTTTTAAGTAGCTAAATTTTTGATTAAATGTAGTCCTTAGTAATACAGGAGCTGTGGTGGCACAATGGTTAGAATGCAATATTGCAGGCTAACTGCCAACTGCCAGCAGTTCGATCCTGACCTAGTCAAGGTTGACTTGGCCTTTCATCCTTCTAAGATTAGTAAAATGAGGACCTAGATTGTTGGGGGCAATATGCTGGCTCTGTATACCACTCAGAGAGTGCTGTAAAGCACCATGGAGCAGTATATAAGTCTAAGTGCTATTGCTATAGTGGAGAAATTCTACTACTATGTTTCCCCAAAAGTAAGACTTACCCCCCAAATAAGCCCTAGCTTGATTGGGGGGGCTAATATAAGCCCTACCCCAAAAATAAGCCCTAGTTTTGGGGCGAGACACTCACTTAAAAATCAAGCTAGGGCGGGGGTAGGAGTGTGGATCTGCCCCATGCACCCACTTACCGTGCAGCCAGGCATCTCCTTGCTTTTCTGGGGCGTCTTCTGCAGCCAGGCCTGCATTTCTCAGTCACAGGCCTTTCCAAAAGGCCTGTGCAGCCAAGAACCGAGCTATGGATTCAATCCATAGCTTGGTTCTGCAAGACCTCTGCAACCAAGGACCAAGCTATGGATTGAATCCATAGTTCGATACTCGGCTGCATAGGCCTTCCAGAAAGGCCTGATTGCAAAATGCAGGCCGGAATATAGCTGCAGAATGAAGCTGCTCCTTTGCCCCAGAAGAAGTGGACCAACTGGGCGGGGCTGTTGGTGCTGCAGGTGAGTAAGACATTCCCCGAAAATAAGACCTGGTGCCTCTTTTGGAGGCAAAAAAAAAAAGACCTGGTCTTATTTTCGGGGAAACACGGGTATATTCTTTCTACTGGCAGTGTTCCCTACAACACATTTTTTATGAATGGAAAAAAAACCAGTTCATATAGTGCATCAGTTGAATACCTCTGTTGTGTCTTTGCAATAGTGATGGATTCATTGCTGAACTTCCAGCACTAGTCAGCATGGCCTATGGTGGAGTTACAGTTCAGAAATAATTGGAGAATCACACTCTTAACTAATATGAATCAGAGAGTTAAGTGATAAACTTACAGACCCAGCCTGATTGCTTCAAAACACCCAGAGGAAATGCACAAGCTATATACAACCTTTGCCCATTATTTAAACTGTTTATACAGTCTAACCCATTTCCCTTCTAACTTTTCCCCAAAGCAAACCACATTCCTTATTAGCACTGATAACGTTACCTAGTTTAGGTAATGAAACGTCTGCAAGAAAACAAGCAAGCTCAGAGAGCACCAAGGACTCCTCTAACTTTTGCCCTTCTAACAAACAAATGAACTAGGTGACGAGGATACTGTAAAAATGGATGTGTGAGAACCAGGCAAATGGGTGTGAGTGTCCATCTGAGTATCCTTCATTGTTGAACCACCCACTATCAACCCCTTCTACTCATACAGACTTCAAAGATTTCATGGGGACCACGGGAGCTTCTGAAAGTTTTCCTGGGAAACACTGTAGTTCCTCCCATGTACCTTAAATTTTGTTTTACTCCCTACCTCCTCTTAAGAGATACTGAGCAAACTGAAATAAATGTTTTTTCAAAAGATGAAATTACATGGCTAATACACAGACTATAAGCATTACTTCATTTACTTTCAATTGGCTATAATCATCCACGATGCAAAATTTTAAACCATAATTTTTTTTTATGTAAGCCATACTGGTCTGCCTTATGCAATATTATCTATAATGAATGGACTAATAATGGTTCATTTCTTGAATTCATAAACTGACCTATGACCAAACCAAAGTCATTAACCAGAGTAAGAAGATGGATCATTCCACCGAACCATAGTTAAAACTAACACTTTTTCTTAATACTGTACAGGGTTGCTTGAACCAAGTGCCCTGATTTCTTTCTCCCAATCATACTAGAGGAGGGGGGTCAGTGGTATATGCTGAGGCTGGATCATAAATCTAGAGGTGCCAGAAATGCAGACAGAGATGCCAGATAGGAACATTGCCTTAGAGGAGTACTTTGAAGCCCATTGCTTGCCTTTCCACTCCTGAAAATCTGTGAAATTAACATGTAACATGCTCGATCCATACCCACAAAGGTTTATTTCCGTAAAATACTGGAGAAATTATTTCAACATTCTAATAATAATAAAAATTAGGCTCTAAGTGCCTTATATCTTCTTTTATTTCCCATTGGTTAAAAAATTGACACAAATCAGAAGATTTTCATGCTAGTAATTTATAGCATCATCTTGATATAAAATCTATCTGCTGCTTATCCACATTTCAGGAGTAACTTGAGAGAGAGAGAGAGAGAGAGAGAGAGAGAGAGAGAGAGAGGGAGGGAGGGAGAGAGGGGGGGGAGAGAGAGGGAGAGACTCTATAAACTGCCTTAATTCCTACTGGTGTTTTCTGATGAACTGTATGCAATGATAATTACAGGAAATATATTAGGAACAGATGTGAAAGAGGATTACAACTGCCACATATTCTTCAGGTAAACACGTTCTTACAAGCTATTAGCATTGCCTCTTAAGAAATCTTCAAAACTGCAATGTGAAAAAACAAGGCAAGAAGTTGGAACATACATATAGCATACTTATAAACAGGTAACCCAAATAAAATACTGAAGTGACATGGAATAAAATTAACTCCTGCACAAATATTTCAACATGCCCTTTGAAATTCACATAAAATCAGAAACCTCCATTGAGTAACAATTTAACAGACTAAGAACTTTGGATTTTTTTCTAATGTTCTCATTTTGCTGTTTGAAACATATTTGTTTCTTTCCATGTTTTAGCTTTAGCATGTTAACTACAGAATCAAACTTCTCGTCATTATCAACAGAAGATGAATATGAAATTTTTTTAAAGCTGCTATATTATGAAATGAATATTACTTTGCTTAGTCATGTTATCTATTTTAATTTCATTATGCTTAATACAGGATTATATTGTGTTTATTAAAGATGGAGTTAAAATATGAACTTGTCTACTACATGATGGACCGAATCCAGGTATTACTGAATTTATGTTTAATAAGTTATGTGTTTATTTTTGCCACCAGTTCTCTCTTGATCAGTTCTTCCCTCCACTCCACAAACTTAGTTACACAGGAAAAATATTAGACCCAACGTTCACAGCATATGGTGGTCCGTTATCCAGTAACTAGCCTGATCTCACACAGCTAGCAAAGATTAGCAAAGAATAACTATATATTGTCCCCAGCTGGGGTCTGGACTTTCCTTCTATCTGACAAAGCTTAAAGGCAACATAGAGAAACCTATTAAAATATATAGTGCAATCCTATCTGTCTATTAATCAATCTTATCGATAAGTACTAGATCAATGAAACTCCTGTTGGATGTTTTACTGAATTTCATAGACTTACTTCTAACTGCAATGTTATACTTAGGTATGAGAATATACTATAAATTTAGATCTGCATATCATACTAAGCCATGATGTGGTTTTATTTAATAGCAATTTAGTGTAATCTATGGACCCAGCCATTCTTTGTAAACCATTATTTATGGCTTAGTGCTTTACATACAATGCCAATTGTGGTTTATTCAACAAATCCAGTTAAACAAACCAAAACTCAGTGCAATATGTATGCCAAATTTTAAGTCACATATTGTAGACTGAAGAAGTCAGAAGGAGAATGAAGATCATACATACCCCAACGAGTCTCCATGTTTCACTAATAAGAGCATACTGAAGTCGGTTCAGAACAAATCCATCTATCTCTCTTGTTAATTTAACTGGTGACTGTCCTATATTCTTCATCAAAGCATAGGTTTTCTCCATTGTAGAAGGATCAGTTTCTGGATGAGGAACTAATTCAACAAGTGGCACATAATATGGTGGATTTACCTACACATCACCATTTAAAGAGAGAGAAAAAGCATGTTAATAGATCTATTATTTAATCAGGCAATCTTACAATAATTTTAAAGCCAAAGGAGCATAAGGGCAACATGAGCTTATCATAACAAAATCATCTTGTCCTCATCAGAATCAAACTTCCCAAAGCTTAATATCTTAAGATGAATATAAAAGACAACAAAGCAAATTACAGAGTTGATCTCCATGATGCATTCTATAATTTTAACAAACTTTAATCAAATGTTGTTAAACATTCTTCATTACAATGCTGCTGCTCTATATATGTATTATAACTGAATTGTGTGACATTCTTTGATCATATCTCCAGGGCAGGTTGTAAAACTGTTGTCGCCGCAGATTTACATGAGGCCTCACTTTTTGTAAGTTTGCATTTCAGAATGATACCCTCTTGAAAATCTCACATGCCACATGCAAAAATTTCATGAAAGACATATAAATTTCTTTCCTCTGACCTGTCATTTAGGCTTGAAAAAACTATCTCAAAAATACCTTGAGATACTTACGGGATGCGCAACTATACACTGCTTCACATGCTTCAATCCAGTGAATAATTTTGTAGGCAAGAGAGTCGAGGTTGAACTTGCTAGGATAGCATCATTATTGACTATTAGGTCTAACTGAGAAAAAATCTTCTTTTTCAGTTCTACATTCTCAGGTATACACTCCTAGAATACAAAATAGGTATATTAAAACATATAATGGGAGCCTTTGACAAATATTTCAATAAATTAGATTCTTTTGGAAAACAAGCAATGCAGTGCTTAGAAATATTTATTAGTTTATACTGTGGTTTATTTCACAAGTATTATTGACAAATTGTAATATATCCTGTTACCTTTGAAACAAAAACCTTTGCTTTTCTCCTAATTGCTGGATCATTTTGTGAAGTAGATTACTTTCAAATACATCTGTAACAAAGTCACAGGGTTGGAGAGCTCTGAGGATACTTGTACACATGGATAAATGAGTGGCATTGAGTAGTGCTTTTATGAAATTCCCCACCTGAAACCCAAAGCCATTTTTTTCAGATCTGGCGATAATCATTCAGGGGAAGCTGAATGCCCTCAGAAACTCAAGCCTACAAAATTATGCAAAGTCACTCAACAAGAGCATTTGCAAAGAATTTCTCTGTTGAAGAGACAATTGTATTCAATTTGTTGGACTGAATGGAATAAAAGTCCTTGTCCTCAGGGATGGATTTATGTTCTTTTGTGAGACTGACTCCCTGAAGAACTAAATTAAGTTCTAATCTGCTGTTAATCATGGGTTGCATAATGTATTAAAAACTACGAAAGTGTAGAACCTATTCACAAATGGAAAAGGCACAGTTTTAACAGCTGGATCCTCACAAGGGTAAGCCTGAGCACTTTTTAAAGGACTCTAATATAGGGCCCATTTCTGTACTGACAAGGATTACGTTTCTCATTTGTACAGAAACCCTTTATTTCTAATTGAGCTCCAAAATGTCAGTAAGGACCCTGTAACACACCTTTCAATTTTAATAAAATCTTGCTAAAACATTCCTGGCAACATCCCTAATTAGAAGATCTTAATTGATTCCTTGTAACAATGGTAACTCACTGTTGAAATTGTTATCTTTCACTTTTATATTAAAACTCTATATACAGCCACTTTACTATGAAAAAGTATGCAATTTAGAACAAATCATATAGCAAAGCCATAAGTATATCATGACTCTATAAACTACAATGAAAGCTACATGGCTCTGAGTTATTTTTTATACACGTATCCACCCACCATAGGTCTAACCTAAATGGATTTTGTTTTGGTCTTCACAAGTATGTTTTGTGATGTACATATCAAAATAATTTTATCCAATGTACTTTTTAGATATATACTAGATCTAATCTGAGTAGTTGTTCAAAATGTCTTCTTAAAAAGAAAAGTGAGAACCAAAGATTAAAATTTATTTTAGGTACACTTAACTCCATTCCAAACTGGGTCAAAAACAATGCAAAGGATAGGAGAATAGAAAACTATTGATTGGAAACATGTTTCTTCTTAATATACTCTGTGTAAGAGTTGTCACAACCTGATATCAATTAAGTATTCCAAGTTGATTTCAAATAAAAGTACAATTTATATGGTATAAATCTACATAATTAAAAAAATTAATTAAATATTACACAAAATGGTTACATTAAATTACAACATGCTCTTTTAACAATTAGAAAGTATGGGAAGAGATTTACGTCTGATAAGTTTGCTTAGAATTCTTTTATAGCATTCCCTTTAAGTCCATTTCAGCCAATTACCAAGAACTGAATATAAAAATAATCTATAGATAAAACAATTGTTTAAAATAAATTAATCAAGGTTTCTAAATTAGGGAATAATTAAATCATTTATCTCAGTTGAATATTTTAGAGGAAATTGGAGAAATATTTAATATACTCTAGTAATAGTAATTAAGATTTTTTTTTAAAAAAAAATGCATTGTCCCCCAGACAATAAACATGAAACATGATTACCCTTGAGATTTAATCTTTGTTGTTGGTGATGATGGTCATAATTGCCAAATTTACTTTTGTAAAACTACAGAAAAATTAAAGTTTAGTGGCAAAACTTTGGCTAACGTTACATATTAGGAACTGTATTCCTAAAACTGTTTGAGGCTAGGATAAGAAATAAATTTGCTTAAGATTAAATAATATTTTTAAAATATTGTTATATACTTTTCCTCTCCATAAATGTAGCATCTACTAAATAAAAATTACAGTTCCAATGGATAACTTTTTTTTAGACAACTAGAATGCATTTGGAAACAGTATTTTTAATTTTTTGGGGAATCATGAGTTTTGAAGAAACCTGATTTATAAAGAAAATATATTAGCCAAATGTAATGAAGCCAACAGCACTGTTTAGACATCAATATTTCCTTAAAAATAACAAGACATGTGTATTATCTTATAAAAGCTACTAGGGTATTACTGTGCTGAAGTACACAGTGACATTATTTTTCATCCATCTGAAGTCAGAAAGAAATTTTATCTTATTCAAACTGTCTAGTGATCTTGTAGATTATTTCATTCTTTGTCTTCTGAATAGCACATGATTTGCTTTATTGGCTCCAATTGTCTGCTTTGCAGAAGCCATGGACAAATACTGCATGCAAGTTGTTTACTCTGGTTGTCTATGGCACACAATTACCTTGATTTTATGGGCTAATCTTTAAGGAGTAATGAGGGAAAAGTCATGCCCTGAAGTGTAAATTTTTCCATGGAATTCTAAAATAACTTTTTAATATGTATTCTTTAACCTTAGATACTCTGAAGACAGTTTTTCTCGTTTGTGTGTAATAATTGAATAGAGTTCCTTTTTTAAACTTGAGATATTCTAGTCTTTGGTTTTCAAAAGTAGGGGTAGAAGTAATAGACTTTAGAAATAGAAATGTGCATTTGCTTTCATTTCACTGTTACATGAATTGAGTTAATCTATTTCCTACTGTGGAATTCTCAAATAGTATTCAAATGTTTAAAGGAGAACCTTGATTCTACGTACTATTAGGGCTTTGGTTTTGGGTTAGTGAGTTTTATAAATCTATATAAATAAAAATGTAAATGTTCGTTTGTTCAAAATCTTAAATCTCTGAAAGTTCTTCACCGATTGCTTTGAAATTTTGACACAACGTTGCATTCGAATATGCATGTGTTTTTATATACCTACTATTATATAGATGTCACACCTGTGACAGGTAAAAACATGCTTTTTTTGAAAAACAGCACCATCTGTTGGACGTAAAAGCAAACCAGTCAATCTCTATATCTGCACAGACAATGGAACAACAAAACATATTGTATACCCACAAGCATTGTGAAATTAAACTTATTACAAACGTGCGCTTTCTCTTTTCTTTCTTTTCCACTTAACCAGACTGAGCCACAGCAACGCATGGCCGGGTACAGCTAGTGTATAAATAAATCCAGCCAACTGATTTATTTAGCAAATAGCAGTCCAATTTCAGCTGGTTTGTGATTCTAGCCTCTCATTGAAAAGGAAGGAGGGAAAGAAGCAAGATATTCATATTCAGAAGAAAATTATGATTCTCAGTCTTTAAAGAGATATTTGCATTATTGTAATGTCTTTCTTCCATATCATGGAAGCTTGACAATGCTGCATGCTTACTGTATAGCATACAATAAGGAGTTGAGCCTAGTCTCAAATGTAGAAGAGACAGGATTCACTGCCTACAACCAGGTATAGTGAATGCTTGAGAGAGCTTCAAAGTACAAGTGAACGAAATGTAACTACCTGGAGGAGAAATAATTCATTAAGAAATAATGAAGCTTTCTAATGAAATTTGAATATACAGTACCAACATGCATCTGTTCAACACAGCAGACAAGTGCTCTGTAGATAATATTGATTTTATAAGATTAAGGAGAAAATTAAGGGTTTGATTTTTCACTTCATCAGAAAACATAGCCATGGTAGCCCTTCTCAACTAGGAGCACTGGCCAACTTGTCTGAACTGAGAACCTAACCAGCATTGGATCTGCTTAGGATTTAAATGAGAGATTCTCCAGGGAATCCCAGAACTAGACACTGGACTGGGAAATAGAAAAAAAATCCTGGAAGATAGGAAAGGCAACAAACACTTCTGGACTGTTGCAAAATAACCAGCTTGGACATATATCCATGACTACTTTGTGAAAAAAAAGGGGAAAGAAAAGAGAAGACTGTATTAAGTCAAGTCAGTGATATTGTGTTATGGTATAGAAACCAATCTCTTTCTCCCTCTCCCTCTCCCTCTCCCTCTCCCTCTCCCTCTCCCTCTCTCTCTCTCTCTCTCTCTCTCTCTCTCTCTCTCTCTCTCTCTCTCTCACACACACACACACACACACACACACACACACACACACACACACACACACACACACAGTTCCGTTGAACAAGTCTTAAAATAAAGCCAGGGCTCTATCCCTAAGAAATATGCCAAAAGCAAGTGAGAATTGTCACTTGTTAAATAACCTTGCAATCATCTTCTCAATACCCTTAATCTGTTGCCCCCTCTAGTGGCACATGTCATCAATACAGCTGTCAAGGATTATTTTTTAATAGCTGCTTGTCTCAAATACTGTATATGATGCTGGGTGATTTACATTATGTAAAACATATATACATATATAAAAAATAAAAACATGCAGCAGCCAAACAAAATCATAAAATACTGCCATGAATACAATCAGGAGATAGTTCTATCACACAACTGGTGCCCCAGACTCTGGCACAAAATCAGATCTTCAAAAGCATTAGGAAGGACCAGCAGGGATGGGGTCAATCTGATCTCTGGAGGGATGATGTTCCAGAGGGTAGGTGCCACAAAAAATAAAAAATAAAGCTTGGTTCACTTTGTTCTACTCTTTCCTCCCTTCACTCTTCTCTTCAATTTTAGATAAATTTTTTTAGGTAAGGATGGTCCTAACCTTGATGGCTTTTTGTTAAAGCCCTAAAGACCTGGGCCTGAGTCCCTGAGTGTGTGAATGGACTTGTTTCTTGGTTGTATTAGTGATTGTGGGGAATGATATTTTCTTAACTGCTATCTAATTTTTGTATTCCTGTAATTGTTTTTATTTAATTTTGTTCACCATACAGAATTACTTATTGAGATTGCCAGATGTACAATTTGAATGAATGAATTTGTCAAACATCTCTTCAACCAAGATATTGTGTATGTCTACTTTAGGACTGTGCTTTAAATTTGGCTTTGATTTAGTTTAATAGTTCAAAACTTTTCTTTTCTGAATTTTGAGTGGAAGTTTCTAAATCTACTGTATGTGCCCATATGTTTCTTATCTATACAAAATGAGCATGACTGATTGCTTTTGTTCCCTGTTTCAATCTACCCCGCATTGTTTTTGGTTCTTTTCCAAAGCAGTGTGTGTGTGTTTGTGTGTGTGTGTGTGGTCACTTTCTTGTTATTAAATTTGGGTGCATACATCTCCTCCATACATGTCACCTCAGTTCTGAGGAAGCAGAATCTTCCTTATTCAGGCTTTTTTATATTCTCACTATATGGAATTATGAGTTGTCTCATTTCAAGAATGAAATTTACTAGCCTTGACTACAAAAAGATGCAAGAATTTTTAATTCAATTACAAGTAGTCTTCAACTTATGACTGGTCACTTAATGACCATTCAAAGTTACAACATACTTATCGAGGGGGGGGGCTACTTATGATCCAGATATTCAGTCACAACATTAGTTCCCACCACGGCCATGTGACCGAACATCAGGTGCTCAGCAACCAGGTTGCATTTACAGCCATTTGCAGCATCCCACAGTCATGTGACTGTGTTTTACAATGGTTCAACCTTGGCTCTTTTATGACTCGTGGACTTCAACTCCCAGAATTCCTGAGCCAGCCATGCTGGCTCAGGAATTCTGGGAGTTGAAGTCTACGAGTCATAAAAGAGCCAAGGTTGACTACCCCTGGTTTAGGGGCAAAAATTCTTAACATTCACTTAAGAACCCCTACAAGAAAAAAAATGGATCAATCACATGTTTTATGACCATCACGACTTACAACCATGATGGGCAGGCTCCATTAAAGTCGTAAGTCGAGGTCTATTTGTAACTGAAATTGTTTAAATGAATGAAATAGTTATTTATGTTTGCAGCATACATAAAAGGCAGATTAACTCACTAAGTTTCTTTCATGGGAATTCCACGGGATCATCATGGACTCACCTGAACATAAATGGCATCTTTGAGTGCTTCTTTTAAATCTGTGCAACCACTAATGAGAGTGATCTGCTGGTCAGCTTTGAGGGAGCCTTTCAGCATTCCAGCTGTTTCAAGTTCTTTCATTTGTTCACTATTTGGAACATAAAGTGAACATTGGAATTATTCCTTAAAATCACTTCCAGAGATACATTGGGTTAAGCATATATTATGATCTTTAAATGCTTCATTGATATTAGTATCAAATTCTAACTTTTGCAGATCACTATGGCTACATCCATCTAACAAGGTATAAGACAGTGTCTACTGCAGCGTTTCTCAACAAAGCACTATTCAGTTGTGTAGGACACAACCTCCAGAGTTCCCAATCACCAATGGAAATACATTTAAAACTTAAAGAAAGTGTGAGATAACTGATGATAGCCAGATTTCAAAAGCTCCTTGGAAGCCTGAAAACATCAAATAAGGTTTTTTAAAAGAAATGCATTTTTTCCAATAGGTTTGCATGAATCCCCCGATTATCAGTCAATGGGATCCACTGGAATGCTTGCTACAAGTAAAATAGGATACCAGTTTTTCAACTAACAAATTAAATTGCTGAGGTCAAAGTCAGATGTTTGCTGGTGGAAAAAATTCTAAGGAGGATGGTCATTGAACTTTCTAGACATGTGAACATGTGGGTCGGAACCTTTTCATTTCTGCATAGATTTTCTAAGTAAAATCTGCTGCTATTTCCTATAAAATGGGGCACTGTTTTCCTGTTTTGTTTTGTGCCAAAGATAGTAAAATTTCCAAACTAAACAGCAGATGGCCCTCAAATATACCTACAACAGATGAAGACTTATACATTTTAAATACCATTTGTAACTGGAAGAGATAATTAACAGTATAACCAACATTATCCCTTATTTATTTTAAAATATATTAAAATTATATTTCAAAGTTGTTTTCTTGGAAGCTTTCAAGTTTTTCAAGTTCTCTTCAAAAAGTTCTTTCTTTTCCTTTTGATTGCATTTTTTTTCTCCTCATAAAATGAAAAAAAATGCATTAATAACTTATTGAAGGAACAAACAGTACACAAAAGTACACAACCTCAAGTACAGTTCTGATCACCATGACACCAAAAAGACATTGAGACTCTAGAACAGGGGTAGGCAACCTTGGCTCTTTTATGACTCGTGAGAACCAAGGTTTCCTACCCCTGCCCTAGAAAGTGTGCAGAGTAGAGCAACAAAGATGATAAAGGCTAAATCATGTGATGAACAATTGAGAGAGCTATGTATGTCTAGCCTATCAAAGAGAAGGATTGGGGGGACATGCTAACTGTCTTCCAGTACTTGAGGAACTGACACAGAGAAGAAAGGATTGATTTATTCTCCAAAGCACCAGAGGGTAATTGATGGAAACTTGTTAAAGATAGATCCAACCTAGAAGTAAGGAGAAATTTTTTGACAGTGAGAACAATTAATCAATGGAATAGCTAGCCTTCCTGAGTTGTGGGTACTCCATCACTGGAGGTTCTCAAAAATAGGTTGACAGTATACAGTCTCCTGCCCTGAGCAGGAAGTTGGACCAGAAGATCTCTGAGGTTCTTTCCAGCCTATGATTCTATATTCTATAAACAGAGTTAACCGTAGAAATACCAGCAGGACCTGGGAAAAGAACTACTAATAATTATGGTATCAAAATGCAAATACAAACCCATGAATAGCTATAACAAAAACACCAGCAACAAAGCTAACGAGATCATTCCCTTTCATCTAGTAATCCTCTGCTCAGAAATATGAGATTTCTCTAAAGTATTTCATTTCAGAATATGATATTCCAAACAATACACACTAGGGTAAATAAAAAAGAGACAATATGTGTGCAAGTAGCTTATCTCCATGGCCACAAGGATTATAAATCAGTTTTTTACATTTCATTTTTGGTTGAGATTCTCTGGTAATGTTGAAATTGATCCTTATTAATCTTAATGCAAATCAGGGATCACACTAGGATTCCTGTTTGAGATAATGTCTGTTCTTTGGAAAATTTAAAAACCTTTGAGAAATTTTATAGGAGACTTAAAAAGTTTTAACATGTTCCTCTGGAATCACTGAATCGATGAAAGCTGACTTTAAAAAAAATAATAATTATATACCCTGACAATCTTTAATTGTAGGAATAATGTTACTGTTCTTTCATTTAGGTCCATTATTTGTCATGTTATTAATAATTTTCCTATATTCTGAACCATTCTGTTTTAGAGAATTTAATAAGTATTCAGTATCTTAAACATACAAGGATCAATTTCAAATTTAACAACTACAAAATCTTTGTTAAAATGAAACTTGGTCTCTTTCTGCTTTAGATATTTAAATTTATGCTTTAGAAATTTCTGAAAACAATAATGTAATGTACAGAACGTATATTGCAGTTTATTAGCTGATCAACCAAAGAGCAAAGTTTTAAAATAATGATGTCTATCTAGATCAGATTTGATAAGGAATTGGGAAGAAAAAAAGTATACACCTTTGTGACAGAGTCAACGGTATACAGTATTTTGTGTCAAAGCCATGTGTTATATATTCAGTAAGTTAAAGTGATTTAACATTCACATTTTATGAATTCAAATTACTTACTTCAAAAACCACTGGAGACAATTAGAATGTTACTATTTGATAGCTTGACAGGGCATGGTGTTTTCTTTTTGTTTTTTTGACAAAATTTAGTTGTTTTTCCAATTAAAGGCTGGGAAAAATTAAAACTTGTTCAGTGCACTTGAAAGATTTGGGGATGGAAGTTTGAGTTCAATTTTTTATGTAAAAAAAGAGATATTCTGGAATAATCCCAATCTAAAAATCTGTGGTGTTTTTTTTTATTACGTGGGCAGAAAACAGTATTTACCTTACTGTTAATGCTTTGATAATAAAACATTTGAGGAACTGGAAAAGAAATTTGGACTTCTAAAACTGGATTATAGTTATATTTTAAATTAAAAACCTCTTGATTTCTTAGTTTGTCCTTGATGCACAAACAACTTTTGAAACTCCCAAATTCTTTTCAGTATCCCTTGTATAGTTCAACAGAGGATTAAGGAATGGATGTCAATATTTTATATTAAATTATATTAAAATATTTACACAAGTATTTTATCATATGGGCCTGCTTTATTATTTTCTAATTTTGGTCTAATACAGGGCTTTTCAACCAGTGGTACGGGTACCACCTGTGGTACATTGGCACCTGGCAAGTGGTACGCGACCATCCTAGAAAAGTGGTAGTAGGGGAGGGGAATGAGCTGAACCGGTGGCAGCACCGCAGAAGCCTGAGTGAGAGACGGCTGGAGCTGCAGGGCTGTCAGGGCTCAGCGGAAGCACCAGGATCAGTGCCGCTTTCCAGCTGATCGGCGCTTCTTTGGGACTGTCAGGGCTCAGCAGAAGTGCCAGGATCAGTGCCAGGCTCCAGCTGGAGCTCAGTGCTGATCCTGGCACTTCTGCTGAGCCCTGAAGAAGTGCCGATCAGCTGGAATGTTGCCTTATCTCCAGGGTCTTGTGATTTACATTCAGATGGTGGCAACTGATTCATATTTATGACGGTCACAGTGTCCCAGGGTCATGTGAAGTGACCAAAACCTGCTGCAACCACCCAGCAGAGGGGGGAATAAAAACCACACACATCCCACCCCACCCCCACTGCCAATCCTCAACAGAAATGCTCACAGCAATGGAAACCTCGGACAGGAGGAAGAGGACCGCCAGGTGGGCAGGCAGGTGTCTTGCTCGGCTGTGGCTTGGGGGGCACTTTTTTCAGTGCCATTGTAACTTCGAACAGTCACTAAGTGAACTGTTGTAAGTTGAGGACTACCTGTACTTCATCACTTTTTTCCTTTTTTAGACACCTTGCTAGGCGACTGGTGGTACTTGGATGTTGCCATATCCTAAAAGTGGTACAATGGGTGAAAAGGTTGAAAAGCCCTGGTCTAATATACACATGATTCTTGATATGATTTGGGGAGAAAATTAGGATCAAAATGTTAATGTTTACAATACCTTATCTAGATTTGGAGGAAGTCAGATGACTTACCCAATTTTTTTCAAGCTTTTTGTAACCTGTGCTTCCACAGTATCATAGAGCTTTACTTGAAAACCACCAGATGCAAAAACCATGGCCCAGCTGCTTCCAATGAGTCCACTAAGGAAGAAATCAAAAGAAAAGAAGGTCAGTATGCATTTTTTATGGTTGTTAGCAAGGACACTGATGGAAATTGGTTCTAGATTTTCAATTTGAGTATTTTCTTGAAGGCAACAGCAATTTAAATATGAAACACATTATTTCTCACACACATTCCAGATTAACTGATCATTCAGATCTAGTAGTGGAAATTCAAAATCTGTTTTGAAGGAAAAAAACAAAACAGGACAGACATGTAACGATGAGATCAGCTCATACCCATGCTCTGAGATGGCAAAAGTAATCCCATTCGTGACATATAGCAACTTCTAGTACTTCTTTATTTCTTCTTTATTTGTATCCTGCTTTTATTATTTTTATAAATAACCGAAGATGGCAAACATATCTAAATACTCCTTCCTTCTCCTATATTCTCTACAATAATGACCTTGTAAGATGGATTGGGCTAAGAGAGTGAGAGAATGAATGGCTGACCCAAAGTCACCCAGCTGGCTTTCATGCTTAAGGCGGGACTAGAACTCACAGTCTCCTAGTTTCTAGAGTGATACCACTAGACCAAACTGGCTCTATTATCCAACTTCTATAACAGGATAACAAGACAGGCATCATATAAATTTAATAAATAAATAAAATTATATTCAACTATTATATTCCACTATTGCCATACTGATATACTGTAACTGTACTGAGGGCATCTTTTATATCGGCTCAAGAACGGTTAGCTGATTCTAGAAGACACATTGAACTAGTATTGTGTAAATAGACGTAAAAAACACCACTAGACAAATGGTCTTATACCAGAGACACATAAATATCATCTTATGTTTTGATTTTCTGTGAAAGGCTAATTCTGCAAATTAGAGTCCAAAATCATTGCTGAAGAGAAATCCTCCACAAATATTAGTGAGATACCCTTTTATGCATTTCCCACCACACATATTGCATGCGTATCCTTTGGATATTTCAAATAATTATTGAAAATACGAATTGCCTTTTATCAACCATCTATTTAAAATCTGGCAGAAACTATCCACTTTCCTAGGCTTTTTCCCAATCCTGCATTAATAAATATTCAAATAAAGAATGCCATATCTGAACATAAAACAAGGTGCAAGCAAACATGCATTCTATTGCTGCTGGCATTGGAGCTTCTACACTATTCATTATTTTTTACTACTACAATACTACTGGAATACAGTATTGCTATTAGATTCTTTTTTTTTTTTTTTCAATATAAAATTTTTATTATTTTCCAAAAAAACAAAAAAAACATCACAAGTATTACACAATATTATATTATATCCCACCCACCCACCCCGGACTTCCCAAACCAAGTCCCAGGCTAATATTCAAATATAGGTAAACAAATATTAATATCTCTAACTCCACAAACTCTATTTATAAACAATCCATCTCCTCCACATTAATAAAAAAAAATTATACATTTAAATAGTTCAAATACACCAAAGTCTATACCAATTCAGCAGGTATCACCAGTAACTCTT